TATATATGACAGTCGGCAAAAATAAACTTCAACACCCCCCCCTCTCGAATCGGTTAGCGACGGGCCTGCATGCAGCCCTTCATTTAAGAAGTGATTGTGCACCCCTACGTAAATGAATCACAAGAATCAATAAAATAAAAAAAATTCTCTTACAAAATAACTTTTTTTAATTCACTTTACAAATAATAATAACTCTTAACTGAACATTTATAGTAAGTTATATTATCGTTTTGTTAATATAAATTTCATTTCAACGTGATAAATGGGTAAGTGTATACAATGTTCCAATTTGGTACTTTTCTAAATTCTGCATTTCCATCGCAATTATAAATTCTTTAATAATTGTTATCTAAACAATTTTAATTATTATACATAAATTCAAATAAAATGAATGATTATAAGTACTCGAATGTCTCTTCACAGTGCTGTTGTTCACATTATAATTAAAAAAAAATTGAGTTAAGTTTAAGATAGGGCGTATTTATAAACTTTGCAGGGGCTGCATTTAAGTTTATGTACGCCATTGATGATATCGCATGAGAAAATCGAGCGAAAACCTGATTTGCAATTTTTTTGCGGTATAAAATATCCACCAATCGGGTCCAGATCATGCATACAATGTGAAATGCAAACGCACAGTCACTCGAAAAAATTTCGAGTGACAGTAATATATGAGCACTGTGATACTGTCATCAATCGAATGAAATGCAGTGAAAGTAGGCCAGCAAAGATAGCTTGAGTAATTTTTTTTTGTTGAAGTTTTTGTGACAAAACCAACTACTATTGAATACAAATATCTATGATAATACTAATATCTATGATACAACTAAAAAGAGGGGGACGGGCGAAAAACATGGATCCCGTCTTCTCTCCAGATGGCGCATTCGAGCGTTGCGATCGCCTAAACAGTCAACCATTCATCGTATCACATCTGCTATCTGTCTAGCCTCAATCAAAACCTTATTAATGAATATAGAAAGCTATAAGCTTAAAAAAAGAACTCGTTTCACTATACTACACCCGCGCACTAGTCAATCATTCAATCTAAGCAATCCAAGCATAGATAGGAAATCCGCTATCCGAATAAGGAAAAATGTGCTCTGAATTTGTTTATCATAATCGAATAGAAATTCTTGCTTTAATGTCTGTGAAATATATTTCTTGATTTTAGTTTTTTTGCATTAAGATACTTACGCAAGTGTTGTAGAAAAGAAGTTGGCAATATATGAAGAAAAATAATTCAAAGCATAAAATGGCAGAAAGTGTTTTAAAATAATGTAAAAGCTTAATTTCTATAAACTGTTTACCTGTCACAGATCTTGTTTGTGTGGCGCAATTACCTTCATTCATTAGGGAATCTTCATTATAAATCTAGACATACATTATCGTTGCATATGTTATTTGGAATTTCCTTGTACTCATGACCCTACACTTAAAACTTTAGCTTAAAAGTTATTTTGGCAATTTGTGTTAAAGTGTCTAAATTTGCAGACAGTCTCAGGTAATCTCTTCATAATGTTTATGTGAAAAGTTGTTACTCATGAAATATGCTATTTGAGCAATGTTTGTCATAGAAAATAATGGTTTTGCTAAACAATTTCATTTTTAGACAAATGTAAAAATTTTTTCAGCCTGCTAAGCAACTAACAATAGTATAACTAAATTTTTAAGAGGCATATTAGATTAATTTTTTGTTCATACCAATTTAAATTTTTCGTATCTCTGTGTATGCGATAAAATATTTGTTCAAAAATCAATATTTCAACCTGGTAATATGTAATTTTATTTTTGTCATAAATCTGTATCATTAAACATTCTTTATATTATTAGTTTTGTAATGTTGGTTGTTTTTGTGTTGATCTTAATTATATGATAGCCAAAGCATATAGTTAGAACCTTAAAAATTTGTTTTGAATGCTACACTAAATAATTTAAGCAAGTTTGATCATTTACCAAGAATAAAATTTAGATTATTGTACAGTATTTTAAATTATACTCCAGTTATGATTTTTATGTATTAATAATAATTTAAATATTTCTGTTGCCTTTTCTTTATTCTCTGCAAAACAAAATTAGTTTCAACATCAATTTCTAGCCTTAGTTTCTTAACTTATTATTCAGAAAATCATATTTCTTACAAAATATTTATTAGTTTGTTTTTAAAATTTAATTTAATTGTTTTGATAAATTTAACATTTGAAGCATAAGTAATTATCACATTTACGTGACATTATTTTAAACTTTAATTCGTTACGACAGTTTTATTTAAATGCACACATTTTTACGCAAGGTGATTTGAAATGAACTAATATTTCTAAGTATTAGGACTCATTCATGTTGGTGAGAATACTTATTCTTGTGTAATAAGAGTTTTTCTTAGAAAAGTAATACTGGTTATTAACCTGATTCTTGTAATAACAGTTTTCACTGAGAAGTAATGTAACGGAATACAGTCATGTCCATACTGGTGTGAAGCCACATTCTTGTAGCATATGCGATGAGAGTTTTTCCCATAGAAGTGACATGACTAAACACTATCCTGTTCAAATGGGTGGGAAATCTTTTTTCTGTAATGTATGTAGTAAGAGTTTTTCAAACAGAAGTAATCTGACTAATCACAGTTATGTTCATACATGTGAGAAACCGTTTTCTTGTAGTGTATGTAATAAGAGTTTTTCACAAAAAATTTATCTAACTTCACACAATCGTGTTCACACTGGTGAAAAACCTTTTTCTTGCAGTATATGTAATAAGAGTTTTTCACAAAAAAGTAATCTAACTGAACACAATCGTGTTCACACTGGTGAGAAACCTTATTCTTGTAGTATATGTAATAAGAGTTTTTCCCGTAGAAGTAGTCTGACTGAGCATTTTCGTATTCATACTGGTGTGAAGCCTCATTCTTGTAACATATGCAATAAGAGTTTTTCCCATAGAAGTGACATGACTAGACACAGTCGTGTTCACACTGGTGAGAAACCTTTTTCCTGTAGTATATGTAATAAGAGTTTTACAAACAGAAGTAAACTGACTAATCACAGTTATGTTCATACTGGTGAGAAGCCTTATTCTTGTAGTATATGTGATAAGAGTTTTTCACATAAAAGTCAATTAACTAGACACAGTGGTATTCACACCAGTGAGAACTCTTTTTTTTGTAGTATATGTAACAAGAGTTTTTCACAAAGAATTCATCTGACTATACACAATCATGTTCACACTGGTGAGAAACCTTTTTCCTGTAGTATATGTAATAAGATTTTTTCAAGCAGAGGTAGTCTGACTAATCACAGTTATGTTCATACTGGTGAGAAACCTTTTTCTTGTAGTATATGTAATAAGAGTTTTTCACAAAGAATTAATCTAACTACACACAATCTTGTTCACACTGGTGGGAAACCTTTTTCCTGTAGTATATGTAATAAGAGTTTTTCACAAAGAAGAACTTTGACTAAGCACAGTTATATTCATACTGGTGAGAAACCTTATTCATGTAATATATGTAATAAGAGTTTTTCTTTTGAGAGTGGTCTGACTAAACACAGTCGTGTTCACACTGATGAGAAGCCTTATTCTTGTAGTATATGTAATAAGAGTTTTTTAAACCGAAGTAATCTGACTACTCACAGTTATGTTCATACTGGTGAGAAGCCTTATTCTTGTAGTATATGTAATAAGGGTTTTTCACAAAGAATTAATCTAACTATCCACAATCTTGTTCACACTGGTGAGAAACCTTTTTCCTGTAGTCTATGTTATAAGAGTTTTGCTAACAGAAGTAATCTGACTAATCACAGTTACGTTCATACTGGTGAAAAGCCTTATTCTTGTGATATATGTAATAAGAGTTTTTCATGCAGAAGTAATCTGACTAAACACAGTTATGTTCATACTGGTGAGAAACCTTTTTCTTGTAGTATATGCAATAAGAGTTTTTCACAAAAAGTTTGTCTAACTTCACACAATCTTGTTCACACTGGTGAGAAACCTTATTCTTGTAGTGTATGTAATAAGAGTTTTTCACGAAAAAGTAATCTGACTAAACACAGTCGTGCTCACACTGGTGAGAAACTTTATTCTTGTAGTGTATGTAATAAGAGTTTTTCACTAATAAGTAATCTAACTGAACACAGTCGTGTTCACACTGGTGAGAAACCTTATTCTTGTAGTGTATGTAATAAGAGTTTTTCACGAAAAAGTTATCTGACTACACATAGTCGTGTTCACACTGGTTAGAAATATTTTCTCTGCAGTATATGTAATAAGAATTTTTCGCACAGAAGTTGTCTGACTGAGCATTTTCTTGTTCATACCAGTAAGAAACCTGATTCTTGTTGTTAATTCTTAGAGTTTATCTTCATAAAGGGTTTATATTTTATTTAGAGGGTCTCATTGTTAATATTGATGTAAATAAATAAAAAATTTAAAGTTTTTCTCTGTGATTCTTTTCTTTTTGATGTGTCTGAACTTCGAACCATTATCATGATTTTTCCATTTTAAAACATTATTTTTTTTTTAAACCATAACATAATTTTTAAATCATTATTTTCGAAGTGTGTAAGAAAGTTTTTTTTAAAAAAATTAGGAGTAAAGATCCAGTTTTTTTAATTTTAATAATTAAATTTATAAACAAATTTAATTATGTGACAAAATACTTAATTTAAATGGAAACTGGAATATGAATTCACATGTAGGTTTAATTATATAAAATACCATTTTAAACATGAAAATTATCAAAAAAATTGGGAGCTATGCTAAAAAAGTTTACTTAAACTTGATAATTTTGTTGCTTTTTCTCTTGTAACTTCAAATTTAACATAAGAATTGAAATAATTGTGAAGACTTAAATGCAGATAGAAAATTATTTATTTGATAAAATGCAATCAATATGATATTTTACTCATTAATCTAATATTTGGTGATTTAGAAGCGGAACATTATCGAAAATAATTCATTTATTTAAATTATGCATTTTATTTTGAAAGAAAAAACATTACAGAATGTTTTTTCTTTCGAAATAAAATGCATAATTTAAATAATATACATTCTTTAAAAAAATTTATAAACATGTTTTTTGGATGTTTTTCAGAATTTTAAGGGGAAATTTTATTTGTTTTATACATAAAATTAATGTTGTAATCAACTAATAATAAGTAAAAAAAAAAAAAAAAATTGTTGCATGTTTTTGAATAAATTTATTTTACTTTTAACTTATTGTGAGTAATCTAAGTAGTTTTTCACGTGTAAAAAATTCAACTTTGTTGACAAACAAAATTTAATTTTTATTGCTCTAATGTCTCTCTAGTGTTTTTAAATAAATTTATTTTACATTGATATAGTACATAAAGTTATTAACCTATTGTGAGTAATCTAAGAAGTTTTTCACATTATGTACAAAATTCAACTTTTATTGTTTTAAAATCGTGTTTTAAACTCAAAAATATTTACGTTTCTATTCTCAGTATATCTGTAATAGTTGTGTGGCTATGCAGTTAATAAATTTTTTTATCAAAAATATTCTGTAAGTCAAATTACTGTGAAACATTTGATTAGCCCTAAAAACAGCATGTGAAAGATTTTTGTGGTCTTTTTTTTGCCTTTTTCTTAATTGAAATAGAATTCTTGCAATGATACCAAAATTAAAGCTGTTGAAAAATATAATTAACTTTTATGTTAAAACTTCTTTTTAGTATTAATGGAGAGAAAAAAATCAATTAACAAAAAATAAAAACTCAACTGATTTTTTTCTAACGAAATACATTTTTTATATGAAATAATAACTTTTCCCTAAATATATAGTTTCAAAAGTGAGGTTTGTACATCTTTCGTTTTATGTTAATAATATTCAATTTAATTTACTTTAAACTAAATCTACGCAATTTTCATTAAAAAAAAATAGTTAAAAGTAGGTATATCTGCGTTTCTATGTTTACATTGATGGTTGTTTAAAAACTTATCAAATGTTATCCCAAAGCTATTTCTATTTTTTATAATGGAAGCATTTCTTTCTAAATAGGAAAAAAGACATGCATGAAAGTGTGGGAATGTCGATTTAATTGATATGGAAATCTTTCACGTAGTTACACTTTCAAAGCTATAAGTTTTGCGTTTCTTTTAAAAAGTTATTCACAAATAAAAACTTTTTAGATTGCTTACAAATAAAATTAGAAGAAAAAATGTAAAATATTTCTTAAATTTTATACGTTTTTGGACTCTTTTTTTTTTATTTTTTATTTCTCCTTTTTACATACAGACCATGGCCAAATTATTAGACACATTATAAGATTTTATGTAAAGTCTTAATGATAAGGTGATACTATACAGCCTTATTGCTTTTAGTCGGCTGAAACCGGTTTGTACTTGTTTATGTTGGTGTATCAATTGGTCAACATTGTAATGCAATACGTTAAAAATAAATACGAATAAGAAGTATATAAGAAATATCTTGAATTAAAACCCATTACATGTTTGTTTAAATATAAAAGTATTGCGTATAAACTCGTGCAAAACATGTAATTATTAAAACACTACAGTGCGTCTAATAATTAGGTCTAATTATTATACAGTACAGAACCCGTTATCCGGAAATCAGAAAACCGGAACGAAATTCGATAAATTTTCTCGCCTTTTTTTTTAAAAATTTTTTTCCTCATAAGATTTTACGATTTTTCTATCTTTTTTTAAAGATGTTTACCTTACCATCATTTTGGAAATAATCATTAGTGTATTACTTCATCGTTTTTTCTTATTTTTAAGATTATTTCCAAATACTTTTTTTTTTTAGTTTGATTTAACAATAAAAAACGGCTTTTTGTAGCGATTCAGAAAACCGGAAAAATCAGTTATCCGGAATAGCGATTGTCCCGACCGTTCCGGATAATCGGTTCCCTACTGTAATATACTAATATAATACCTGATATAATAAATATTCTGTATTTATATAATATATCGTCTCATTTATCCAATCGTCGAATTTATATTATATGTCGTCTAATTTAACAAATTGATACACGAACGTAAGGAAGTGCAAACCGGTTTCATTATCGTAAAAAGACAAAAGCTGTCTGGTGTCACCTGATAATTAAGATTTTACATAGAATTTTAAAGTGCGTCTAATAATTTGGTTTTTTTTTTTCTCGAAAGTTGGATTATTTATTTATTAATTTTAAATTTAAGTTTTTTTTTTTTTTTTTTTTAAATGTATTGGCGTATGTTTTGTGCATTATTAACATCCTTATACACACAAACAAATCGAAAATCGTTTTACACAATTTATCGATGTAATAAATCTAATTTACCTTAACCTTATACATTGCTATTCTTAATAGCAGTGTTTAAAGGTTTCATTAAACTAATAACTCGTTTTTTTTTTCTTACCCATATGAGATATCGTGTAAGCAGTTTTGAATCTATATAACTTTTTTAATTTATACAGAAACTATTTTTCCCGTTAACGAGTTGTCAAGATTAAAAAAGTTCTAATAAATGCTGTAACTTTTTTCACACTACGTGAAAAAGTTTACCATTTTTTGCTCATTTAAAAACGGCATTAATGTCATGCAGTTACTAAATTTATTGATTTACTGTAATTAAGAGTAAATTATTCAGTGATATTCTGGGACTTAATATATAAATTTTATATGCTTTAAGTTATTTTAGTTTTTTTTTCCTTAATATTTTTGCTGAATTTTTCTTCTGAATTATTTATTAAAAAATATCTTTTATTTTATGTGTAATTAATTTCGATGATTAATTATACTTAAGATTAAATTAATCTATCCTATTCTGAAGCTTTTTACATGTGATGTACGTTTATGATTTTTTGGTGGAGTTTTGGTATTTGAGTTTAGAGTCTATTATGCAAAATTTCGTTTCGAAGCAGTTAATAGAGAAAACAAATTTACCTTTAAAGAGTTTTCAATCTCATTAAATTTATCTTAATAGATTTTATTATTATCATTCTTGTGAAAAAGCTTCCAAAGGGAAAGATTTTACTCTAATTTAATGACCCTTTGCTTATGTATAAATTTGCCAATATGTAATTGTATAATAAAATTCCATAAGGCTGTGAAAAAATGCATTATGGAAAATAGTCAAGGGAAATATTTCATAGGCTATAAAACACCATAGTTTTGTGGCAAAAATTTGTATATCCTATGGAATATGCTATGATATTTTTTATAGCAAACCTACGACAAATTTAAGGGAAGTTGCCAAGAAGGCGGTTTGTGTTTTCTGTGTACTGGTGAAATGTGAGTTCCTCTTGTCTGATTAAATAGACAAACTGGACTTAGCTTATAAAATATCAAATAAGCTTCATCTTAATTGATCAAGAATATTTATTGTGGTCGATAATTTGACAAATAATTCCAATCTTCTTGTCAGATTGTTTTGACAAACTTCCAATATAAAAGGTTATACAATACATTCTTTTTGTGTGATTACAAAAGCTTGAATTACAAAGTGCTTTAGTGCTTCATTTTTTTTTCTTTTTTTTTTTTGAATTTAAAATTTGCTAAGGCAGGTGTTTCTTTTTCCCTGGCTACTCGCACTTTCCATACCTGTTCAGTAAAAAGTTTTTCTGCAAGAAACATAAAACCAAAATCAAAATTGTATAATTGTATACACTTATAAAATGTTTATAAATTTTTAGCTTTTACCAATGAGAAATACGTCTTTTCCATTTTAAAGTTAGAGCAGAAAAAATGGCAACGCGTTGTTTTTTCGATGCGTGGCAAAATCGCGACACGGCTTCAGCTCCGCGTAACGGCGTAAAGTTTAAGTATTGGTCAGATTGATAGTTTTACCGTTTTATTTTAAAGCTTTAATTGAATTAGTGCAGTTCAATGCAATCTTTTGATAATTTGTTTAATTTTATTTCAATAAGGTGTTTAGAATTCCATTCTTTATGAAAACATGAAGGGATTAAAGAAAAAGCTCACAATAATTTTTTTACAGTAAATTAGAATTCATATTAAATATGGAAAGTTTGAAATATTTTCTTATTTTTCATATATTTATTTAAATCTTGATTAAAATGCATATTCATTCGCATAACATACACTGTTAATGTTTTTAACTGAAAGTAGAAGACGAAGAAATTGCGTTATGAGTATAAAAAAAACAACAAAAAAAAAACAAAACAAATATCGTTAACGTGAAATTTTGCACAATAAGGAGCGATTTCTTTAAAATATCATGCACGTTTTTGGTTTTCTTATTTTAATTTTAAATAATAATCGAAATCTAAAGCGTAATAATAACAAAGAATAATATTATGAAGGGAGAATAGTTAAGTATTGTTATAATAGTGTTGAAAATTATTAAATATTGTTGAAAAAGTTATAAATAAATGATTTACGTGTAAATGTTATTAATTTAATGCTTCGTTTGCTGTCTTCATGCTGTTGCGATAACTTCCATTATGATGATGAGTCTTTTATTGCTTGCGTAAAAGCAAGCGCTTAAAGACTTAACTTACGGCTGGGGATGAATCAAGAAAATTCCTATTAATTTCCAATACAAATGGCCAAAATTATCAGGATCTTTTTTTAATAAGCAAAAACAGGTGATTTTTTTTTGTTTAGTGAGTGTACGAAACGGTAAAATGATCTTTACTATTTTATGGTGTATAACCATTTCCTTAACCCCTTAATGATCGGTTATTTTTCAAGAAAACGGTCATAAAAGTGTCTACTTTTTTTTTCCCTGAAAATTATATGAAACTATGTGTATGAACAATATATATATTCATTTTCAATTTTTGATTCGTTTTTAGCTTGAAATTTTTAAAAATTTAATTTTTAGGAAAAGCCTACATTCAGTGTTAAATGTTGGCTTTCCAGCAAGCAAGGAAAATTTTAAAAATATGTGTTTTGAAAATATCCTGGTACTGCTATCTGGTGTATAAAATGAGAAATAAAATTTTTTCCGGGCAAGGAAAAAAAAAAAGAATTAGTTTCCTGCCCGTCAATATCACGGGAGCGAGAAATAACGATCGAAATCTCAACCTGTCATTTTCACGGGAGCGAGAAGGAAGGGGTTAAAAAATAAATTTTATCTTGAGCACAAACCAGGTGCATTCACAAAGAGCCTAACTAGGTAACTTTGCTAAGATTACAAATAACATATCACAAATTCGCGCATTTGATTAGTGCTGATTAGCTGACTTTAGTGCTGGCATCTGGTTTAAAATAAACTAACTATCTATAATTACCTTAAAAATATCCTGGTACTGCTATCTGGTGTGTAAAATGAGAAATAAAATGCTTTCCGGGTAAAAAAAAAAAAAGAATTAGTTTCCAGCCCGTCAATATCACGGGAGCGAGAAATAACGAACGAAATCTCAACCCGTCATTTTCACGGGAGCGAGAAGGAAGGGGTTAAAAAGGTTACTACAACTGGCTTTGGTTATCTATTAAAAAAAAAAGTTAAACTTTAAATTTTGTTATGCTGTAAGCGTCTCTTAAAAATAAAAATTCTTGTTTACTAAAAATAAGAACAGTGAAATCGAAAGTGTCCTAAACTTAGAAAATGAAAGTGATTCTTACATATTTATTATAGATTATTGTAAAAAAAAATTGCGTTCAGGCTGACAAAGATAAAAAATATTTTTCCATCGATGAGATAAGTTTTTTCAACTTTCAAAGGGAAATAAAAAAACGTATTTTGTATATTTCGTTAGTACGATAATGAAGCCTTTTTTTTAACCATACTGAAAGGTAGTTGTAAAACTCTTTTCGGAATTTATATTTATTTTAATTTCCAGAATTTATGCTTAAAAATAATACTATTTAGATCTAAATATTTCTAAAAAGTTAAATTTTCATATTTGTTATGCTGTAAGTGTCACTGAATAATGAATATTCTTGTTCACAAAAGTAAAAACAATGAAGGTAAACAATGAAATAAAAAAAGTCCCAAATCCGAAAATGAAAGTGACTCTAAGGGCGCTTTTTCATTACACGACACGATACCGACAAAATCGGACGACAAATGTGTGAACGACAATGTCGTTGCTGGATCTCTCAAGCAATTGTTTTTTCACTTGTCCGATATCGTTCGTCCGAGAAGTAGAAATTCTTGCTCATTCAATGTTTTGAGCTTGAATGAGCAGTTGCTTGTGTTCTGTTGTGATTTTTCTGAAAACTTTAAATATGCCGGATGATAATCGTCGTCTCAAACTTCTTACTTTATTTTAGAAGAAAAAGGCTAGCAGTGCAGAAACGTTTTGGGTGCACAAAATGGTACTTACAGCTACAGATTTGGCGGTTTTTAAGTGCCGCCTATCTACACCTAAAATTTTTGCGACAAATCATGAAGAAAAACACTCTATTTAAAATCTAAAAATTCGAAACACTTTATTTAAAATCAAAGTAGTCAATCGGATTTCGGTGGAAAATGGGCCGATATAGAGTTTTACATACATTCAAAACAGTCTCAGTTCTTTCACCAGATGTTGTCGCCATATAAACTCTGATAAAATGATGATTCCAAATGATGTCTCGCTGTTCTCCTATGTCTTTCGTTCCTCCATTTAGCACTGCCCTTATTCTCTCAACTATGTGTGTATTTTGAACTCCTGTATCAGGATTAATAAAATGTATACAAATACCTACTTGCTAAGGTATTTGTATTTATGATAAACCTTAGCAAGTAGGAATCCTTCTATTCTCTTTGTTTGATAACCTTTCCAACTGTCAGAATAAATTGTGCTACCATCTAAGCCCCACTTGCTGATCACACTGTCTTAAATTGCATTTCCAAAACGTACGTTTACCAAAATAAAGTTTCATGTCATGGGAATTGATAACATTTTTTTTGGGGGGGGGGGGTAAAATATTTCGCTACTGAAAAAATAAAATTGCATCCTGTTCTTTTTTGGCAAATCCCAAAGATGCATTTTCGTAGCACTAAAAATGGTGTCAGAAATCAGCAAACAAGGCAACAAGGAATCCAAAAGATAACTACATGCGAAAACGGGGTTGTTGGGAGCGAACAACAGGATTGCTCTTTATTGGCGCATTTGAACAACTTCTGCAACTACGCAAGTACCCACGAAATAAATGAGGCAAGATATTTTGAAGAAGATTTTTATGTGCTTTTCCATAAGCTACAAAAAGTTCCAAATAAATTTTTTAATTACGTCTGAATGAGAGAAACCAAGTACAAAAGTGATGTTAGTGAGGAATAATTTTTATATGGCTTTTGAGTTGGCGTCTGCTCTCAAAATTATGTCTGCAATCACTTAACAATACTTAAATTCTTTAAAAGTTTTAAAGTATTAACGTTTTTTTAATCGAATTAAAATATTAGTTTCACTTAGAATAATTTTTTTTAGATGATTTTTTAAGTGAGTTTTACCAAATTTATCTTATGAAGCCGCTCTATTATGTTTCAAAAAAATGTTTCAGTTGAATCAGGGAACATATTTTTTATTATTCAATCAAGCAGAAACCAGTAGTTAGATCGAGTTCTGTTTGAAATACATAAGGGTCTTCATTTGCTTTCTTATCAAACCATTACTATTATAAAAATTATTATCTCTTCATTAAAGCATATAATGAATTTATAAAAATTTTCAATAAAACTTTTATGATTGGCTAAGTCTTTCAACAATAACATAATGTAAAAAATGCTACATCATAAAATTAATAACTTATAACCAGACATGAGAATACATTATATAAAACTTTTATTTTCAAATTTTGCAGTTGACATGATCAAATAAACGATTAAAATTGATTAAAAGAATAAAATAATGATATCAAAAGAGGAGATACAACAGAAAAGCACAATAACAAATAAAATCGCCACAGTTTGATGAGAAACTTGCTTGCCTAACCAACATTAGATTCCGACAAACGATATCGACTTGTCGGATACGACATAATCGTTATCGTATCGGTGAATGAAAAANCTCCGTTGCTGACCATGCATTTTACTTGACTCTATGTCGTTCGCCGACAATCGGATCCGTTTTGTCGTTATCGTGTCGTGTAATGAAAAAGCGCCCTTACGTATATAATTCAATAGTGGTAAAAAAAAAAAAATTTGCGCTGCAGCTGACAAAGATATTAATAGTAATTTTCCATTGATGAAATAGTTTTTTTAAGCCTTCAAAAAGGAAAGAAGAAATGTGTTTTGTATATTTCATTTGTATAATAATGAATACTTTTTTATATTATACGGTACTGTAAGATTGTTGTGTAATTTTTTCCAGAAATCATATTTATATATTATGTTACTGATTGTTTAACACCAAACCCTCATGTTTTAATGAATCCATAACTGCTAATATATATATATATATATATATAAAAGAATGAAATTTTATTTAAAAAACCGGGAAAAAAATATATAATCTTTTCTTCAGCCCACACGATTATATCCGCAAAACAGAGTGCTTTCTGATATTGTATCAATAAAGCCAAAGCAAAATATATTAATACAATAGTGTGAGGAGCACTCAAAAAATTTTTTTTAAAAAATAACAACAAATAAAATAGATCACAAAAAGTAAAAATAAGTAACATGTAAAAACAGAAAATAAAATAAAAGAAAAAGAAAAAACAGTATAAAAGAACTGAATGAAACTTATTGTTTTTCTTAACTTTCTTCGTGTTTTCTTGTATTTATTTATTTTTTATATATATATATATATATATATATATATATATAAAATCTGAAAAATTATAAAATTTTAAAGAGATATTTCCAAATATTCACTTAGTTAAATAATTAAACCTCTTAGAATCTTGAAGGAAGACAAATTCATTTTAATGCAGGGTTATTCATAATTCCCTCCGGGGTTTCGAAGCGTGATATTAAAAAAACGAAGACGAATATGGCAAAAAAGAACATATGAAATTATTCCGAAAATATTCAAGTTTTAATTGAAGCAGTTGCCGGTAGATGGCAGTAACATGTACCACTGAAGCCAGTTGTAGTAAACATAAGGTTGTAGTAAACAGAGGGAATTGTGAATAACCCTGTACTAGCATAGCATTTTAATTAGGAAATTTCGCACTTTTACATTAGTTTCAGTACGTACGTAAGATGTGAGAAAATGTGAATGCTCGCGTTTATTTTAGATGTTACGCTTATTTACGTTATGGGGGGCGTAGTTTATTCTACGAAAACTAAGGTTCCTATACAATTAGAGCTGAACTATCAGCCATGTTGGAGCTGACAAGTTAGCAAGTTAGTATTAGCGTGATAGTTTGAAGGCTATTTGGATACCAAAAATTATTGATATGGATGGTTGAACGATGGTAAATTGTACAAACAGTTTAAAAAAAGGCTTTCGAGTGTTAAGATTTCCTTCAAATTTGCAAAGAAAGAAGAAATGGATAATAAATTGCAGAAGATACAATTGACAGCCTGGAAGTGGAGCTCGCTTATGTGAGGTAAATTCACATTTATTTATAAGTTGTTAGATTTATTTACTTATATATGTAGTATATAAACGATAGTAAGTTGTTGGAATTTGTTTTTGAATGCTCGTTTTCGTCTATTTTTTTTTATAAAAAATAAGTGAATAACTTTCAATTGTACAGCTTTAACTATGTACCAAATATAGGAATTTGCATTGAAAATTGCGTTTATTAAGTATATATTTATTTTAACTATGAGTTTCAAACAAGATTTATTGATTTATTTATTGACTTTAAATGCTTATGTGCAATAAAACTAATAAATAAAGGCAAGAGACTAGCTGAATAAGTATTCTCCAGACTTATTTCAGAATCATGGCTGAAAGCTCTTATATAGCAAGACGGAAAAAATGAAAAACTGGTACCAAAGTCATTTTATTATAGCATTTTTTCCGAGAAAAATAAAACATCTGTAACTATCAAGATTTCATTAAGATATTTACATCTATATATAAATCTGCTTCTTTTCCAAGATAAAATAGATATTGTTGAATAGTTTAAAAGGAGAATAAGTTAACTCCTCCCAAAAACTAGCAATAACTGAAATGGTTTTAGTATCAGCCTTTTCTTTTTTCCGTCTCGCTTTCACCCCTGTTCAGAATCGCCAAGTTTTGTATTCACTTTTAAGTATATCTTTTTGTCATATTTACTGCTTTTTAGTGTTATTGTTTGTATTTATTATTTACCTGCTTTTCGATGTATTGCTTTTTATTTCACTAAGATCAAGTAGCTACTTTCTTAATCTTGGCTAATTAGATTTGTTTTTTAGTTATTTATGGTAATATATAGCCTAAAGTTCAACGATTTGTTTCCATTTATCATGAGAAATCTATTTCATATGCGACCTTTCATATATTTTTGGATCTACCAATATTTTTTTCTTGGTAATTCTCGTGTTAAATTGCTGAAACAATTAGTTTCTGTGTTGGAAAATTTCATGGGAATATGTTTAAAAATTGTATAATCCAAATTTTTTATTGTGATTTAATTTAAGTATGGAAATAAAAAAAAAGTATTCTAACTAAAAAAGTATTCTAACATTTTGAAGAATCTCAACTATAAATAGTTAGGATGGTAACAATAAATTCAGATCTGATGCTATTCCAACAATTTTCAATGTTCTAAATTCCTTAAAAATTCCTCAAACAAAGCTGAAAGTAATAGGCTGTCCTAAACCTTTTTCAAATATTTATAAGCTTAAATCTAATGCCAACTAATTCCTCTCCATTTGCTTAATTATTATTCTTATTTTATTATTAAAGAACCAAAAATGCGTAAAAACTATTACTAGTTATGAATAATATATAGATCAATTTTTTTAAACTGTACTCCTTATTTATGTATTACTCCTTTAAATAAATGTTATGAAAATGTGATTTGAAATAAAATATTTATTTAAATAAATTATTTAAAAAATTTTCATGCGTCGTTTCTTATCCTCCCAATATGACACTAGTTTCTATTTATTCTAATAATGCTATTCATATAATAATAATAGCTAAAAATCTTAATTCATCTTGTCCTTTTATGTTTTAAAAAAAATTCAATGTCTCAATTGAAAAAACTAATTTCAAATTAATTTTCGATTTGGAAACAAAATGTATTACTTCTAATGATTGTAGACATTTATATTTAGAATATTGCATTATAAATTTAATTATCAGAACATACTTAAGAGTATTTCAGGTCAAAATATGTTTTTTTTCTATTTAATTTTGTTTAAAAAAAACATGAAAAGAAATTGGAAAAACCCAGAACTAACACAAGCATAAAATTTAGTGCCATATTTATTTCGAAATCATTAAAAAACGATTGATGTAATTGGCATGTAGCACGCATAGATTTTTTTATTTAACGCTTTTAATCGGTAATAAAATTTACAGTGAATTTATATGAGTATTAAAAAAAGTTTCCGAAAAACAATGTTAATCGATGCACGGTTTTCTTTACGGATTATTCTATAGTTTAGGTTAACGTCGCTTGTAGCGATAATTTGCCAAATCTTGTAGCTCTTCATTACTGGTGGAAAAGCTTTTGCTCCGAAATGGATGATAAATCGGAAGATGGAATGCAAATTTGAAGAGATGTATTGATGAAATTTAAAAAATAAATCGCGTGATCTTAAAACATATAGCTCATTCAATTAATAAATAACTAGGAGGCTTCGCCCCTTGCTTGCTGGCACTCGCAAACCCCCGGAACTGCTTCGCAATCCGATGCTCGCTTTGCTCGCTCATTGGATACGTTCTTAACGTCTAGCTTTTGTATACTTTTTTGAACACTGAAGTTCCGAAAACTTTTCACTGTAGAAAATTCTAAACCTGTGCATTTCAATATTAATTTGAAATTGCAAACAGTTC